CCCCCACGGGGTGGGGTTGGGGCGGGGACAGCAGCCCTGGCCCTGGAGGCCTGGGGAGCCCAACTGGGCCAGGAAGGGTTTCTCAGGGGTCGCGAAAGGGCGGCACCGCTGGGGAAGAGCCCAACGCCCGCCTCCCCACAGGGCCCCTGCTGCCCGTTAGCCAGAGCGCCGGGGAGCTCGAGTACCTTCGGAAGAAGAGCGAGTCCCAGCAGCTGAGCCCGGCCGCCAGCAGCCCGGCGCTGGACCAGAGCCACCTGAGGAAGCGGGTGCCCTGGTACATCTCGGTCATCCACGAGAAGGTACCGCCCGCGAGCAGCTGGCCTGGGTGCCGCCCAGCTCCGTGCCCCTGTCACCAGTGGCTCCGCAGGATAGCTCCGCTCCTGCCGGAGGCTGCTCCGCCCGCGCCCCAGGCTCCCTTCTAGAATCTGTCAGCTGCACGCGCAGGTCCCCAGACGTGGTCCCGCCGACCCCAGTTCCCTCCTTTGGCATCTGGGACTCAGAGGCTCCCCGCATGGGCTGGCCCCTGCGCATCCTCAGCCCAGAGGGTGGCTCAGAGCCTCGCCCTCACCAACTTGCAGGCAGCGTGCCCCTCGCCTGGCGGCACAACCTCGGCCCAGTCCTTCCGCTCGGAGAAGATGCCTCAGAAACCGCTGGGGGCGCAGCGTCGGCCTGCGCCCAGCTCCCCGCGGAGTCGTTATTTCCCACTCGACTCGGAGGGAGGCTGGCCAGGGCCTTGTCTGTCTCGTAATTCCTTCGTTTGAATTTGGTGGCAGAGTTCATCTGATCTCATAATCAGAGGCAGGATGCGTTCTCCTCTTTCCTTTTTCCGTTCTCTGAAAGAGTTTGCGTAAGACTGGAGTCATTTCTCTGAGAAATTCTGGAGTTCGTCACTGAGAACGTCTGTGTGGAGATCTGACAGGGTGGGTGTCAGGAGTGTCGACCCATGAACCAAAGAGGCCACAGGTTTGATCCCCAGTAGGGGGCATGCACGCGGCAGCTGATACACGATTCTCTCTCATCATCGATGTTTCTATCTCTCACTCCCTCTCCCTCCTTCTCTCTCTCAAATCAATAAATAAAACGTGTTTTAAAACAAGGAATTCAATTCCTCTTAGGATGTTCAGATTTCCTTTTCCCCTGGCTTCAGGTTGGGTGAGCTATGGTTTTCTAGGGATGTGCCCATTTCCTGGCAATTTTCAAATGTGTTCACCTGACCCCTGCGTCATAGTCTCTCGTTCTCCTCCCCACGCAGGCGGGAGATTGCGGGGGAGCGGCCTCTGTCGTTACTGACACCGCGGACCCAGGCCCGCTCTCTCCTCCTCTTCGTCGGTCCTGTCAGAGTTTAACCGTCTTTTCTTAGAATCCGCTTCTGTTTGGTTTTTTAAGGTGGTGATGCGTTGATGATGGTCATGGCCACGAGCTACAGGAAGTGCTGGGTAGTGGGCGGGTCCACAGGGGGGCCTGACCGGGTCTGTTGGCGGGGGCCCAGGAGGACTCACTTTACACGGATTCCCTAACTTCTGCCTCTACATTTCAGGAGAGCTCTCACCACTTAGAAAGCGTTGCTACCCCTTGACCAAGCCATCCCACTCTGGGGAAGTAGCCCGAGGATATAATTACATGGAGTCGCACAGATACAGTGAAAGGATGTTCTTCTCAGTGTGGTTATTCATTCCAACTGGGGAAGGACATGACCAGCACATGCGTGTGAGCTGGCCCGGGAAGGGCTGCAGGCTTGGCTCTCTCTAGGAGCCCCATCGGACTTCTTGGGGTCTCCTCCTCTCATCTCTGCCTTCCTCTGAGCTGTCACAGGTGAGTCTGCCTCTTCTGGAGGCAAGACAGCCACGTGCAGCAATCCACGCGTGTGTGCAAACTCAGCGGCCCCGGTGGAAGGAGCACCTCCTTCCTGTATCAGTGTCTGATGTGGGACACACGTGCGTGTCTAAGTCACCCTGTTGTAGAGACCGGAGGAGAACCAGGCAACGCTGTAGAGAAATGGAGGGACGCAGTTTATTATGCCAGCGGACTCAGGGGAATCATTTCCCAAGTCTGAGCAAAGCAACATGCAGGCAGCTTCTCCTTTATATCTTTCTGGTGTCTTTGTCCCCCAGATATGGATTATGCTTCCGGTCCTTTCGCGGGCTTTGCAAAGAAGGCCCCAGGTGCTGGGGGTCTTGAGACCATATCTAATGGTCTGGCCTGGCACCAGCGCGAATAACCACCCCCCCTCTGGGGCTGTGCACTGTTCATAGTTTATGGCCTCTGTATTTAGGTACCAGGTCTTGCAAGACCAGTTTCTGGGAAAGAGGCAGTGGCTTAATTATAGGTTATCAAGAATGTACTAGGGACTTGCTGGCACAGATTCAGATTGCTTGCCCCCCCCCCCCCCCCCCACCACATCACACTGTATAT